GGGGGGGGGGGGGGAGGGGGGGGGGGGGGGGGGGGGGGGGGGGGGGGGGGGGGGGGGGGGGGGGGGGGGGGGGGGGGCAAGATGGAGAAGAAAAATATTCCAAACTGATAACCAGCAAATGTCATCCACCAAACAGCTAAGATCCCCACTCCAGATTTGGTGGATTGTCAGAGGTTTGCACATAGAGTTTAAGAGTGAATAAATCTTAGACACTAAACCTCTAGTTTGACCTCCCACATCTAGCAAAGAATGAAGTGGATTAGTTGTTAAAGCTACACCCCACGGAACCCCATAGGTTCACATTGCTAATCTGAGCCAAAGGTAAAAGAAAAATGAACTTCTTGGGACATTGTACATAGTACACAAATCATTAAAAGATCTTATTCCTTTGTCATCCCATACATCTGACAAGGTCTCAGTACCTTGTAGACCATGTGAGAACTAAAAAGGGGCATCTCCTGTAATAAGATTGAAATTATTAAACATGGGACTATGAGTGTGCCATTTTAAAGAGGTCTGAGTGTGATTTTCTCCCAGCCGCCATGTTGACGGTAAAGAAGACATAATTGGACCAAGCTGACATTTAGCGAGTTTAGGAGGCAGGGCTGAATAAACAAGCTCCTGTAACTGATGAGGGTGGATTTAGAGGCATTAGCTGTGACTTGGACCAATTGATCTTATATCCAGAATTTGAACTAAATTGAGTAAAAACATCCAAAATGTGAGGAATTGAGGAGGGGGCATTATTAACATACAGTAGTATGTCGTCTGCAAATAAGGACAAAGAATGTGTATAGAATGGAATAGAAATCTTTATTGTCCAAATTCATCTTTTGCCTCACAAAAACATTTGTCACAGGTATGCACACTCAATGCAAACACAAACAAGACATACAAGGAATCCCCCCCACCATATGGCCCCACAGAAAAAACATATACCACAAGTATACACAGCTCAGTACAACAGACACTCAAGAGCTTCTCACCCCATGGACTATAGACACATGAGACATGGGGTGAGTGTGTACAACTATTACAAAAAGTGATGGGTTCAATTAGGGGATATTGCCTTATTGTTTGGGCTAGAGGTTCTAAAGAAAGAGAAAATAGAAGAGGAGAGAGAGGACAGGCCCGGTGGGACCCTCTAGAGACAGGGATTGGGGTTGATATAATAATGTTGGCTATCACCATGGCTGAAGGATTTGCATAAAGTATCTTAACCAGTTTAATGAAACCCCGAACAAGGCCGAACCTCCCAAGCATCTCCCATAGGTATTGCCACTCAAGCCGACCAAAGACTTTTTTGGCATTGAGTGACAACACAGCACAGGGTGATTTGATATCTTTTGAAAAGTTTATACATGAAGTAATCTGCGAATGTTGTCACTTGTCAGACGAGACTTTATAAAACCAGTCTGGTCGTGGTGTACAAGTTTGGTCATATGTGTCTCAATCCTAGAGGCCAAGACTTTGGCATACATCTTTACGTCTGTACATAAAACGCTCAAGGACCTATAGCTACTGCATAGGGTGGGATCCTTATTTGGTTTAGGTAAGACAGCAAGTAAAGCCATGTTGGTCACCAAAGAAGGACCCCTTTTCAACTACAGCAAGAATCATATCTAACATGTATTGTCCAAGCTCATCCCAGAAGGTTGAGTAAAACTTGGGTGGAATACCATCCCATCCCACAGATTTTCCCCTTTTCATGCCAAAGATGGCCGTCTTGAGCTCATTTAATGTAATAGGGGCCCCCAAGTGGTCTGCTTCCTCCTGGGATAAAGATGGGAGGTTAATGTTTCCCATAAAGTTGTTACTCTCATCAACATCTAGAGTCACTTCTGAGGAATAGTTAGAAAAAAAGTGTTTAAAATGCTGTGTTAATTTCCTTCAGGCCTGTTAACAGGCCCTGTGCAGAACTAATTTAAGTGATATTTGAGAATTTTTCATTTTGTCTTAATCTCAAAGCAAGGAGGTGGCTAGGTCTTGGGCCATTAAACTAGTAATTCCTCCGAGTCCTTAATATTCTGCTCTCTGCCTTAACAAGGAGTTCAGTTCAGAACAGATAGTATTAATGGTTAATATTACACTGTCAGACAATGAAACTTGTTGTTCATGCTCTAATTCGGTCAGTTGTGCCTCCGGTTCATTTATCTTAGTTAATCTGACCTTGCTCTGATAGGATGAAAAAGATATTGCCATATTATATATAATATAATACTATATAATATAATATAATATAATATAATTCACACATTTTTTTGTTGCTTAACAGTGATGCACTAAAGCACCATTGGGTAGCTTTTTTAGGTGTATCTCTGAGGGTAATCCTGGACAACACGATAATGTGATCAGAAAGAGGGGTGGATAAAATTATTGAACTATGAATTAGGCAGAAGTAAACACATAATCAATGCGGGAGTAAGTCCTGTGTCTATGAGAGTAAAAGCTGTATTGGGTCACTGATGGATTAATAGCACGAAATGTGTCTATATAAAAAAGGCTGAGGTCTGCAATAAGTTTATTTAGAGTAGATGCAGAAGCATTCTGTGATTGTTGAATTGAATGGCCAAAATGGTTAAGGGTGGGGTCAACAGTGGCATTCATATCTGTTCTGTGTATTAGGGAAAACTCCTGCATACTGGATAAAAGGTCTGACAGATGTGTAAAAAATTCCGGGTCAGAATCATCATTAGCTTTCCAAGATGGTTAAAGACACTGTATGCCTCAACACTACTAAAGAACCTCTGGTTTTGGAAGTAAAGGAGCTAGAAGCAGCCACATAATAATTTTTGTTACTAAAATGGGAGATATCATTGCTTACTGCTTTACTGCATAAAAAGTCTAAACAAGCAGTACGCTTGACTGGATTATTGAGCCCGTTTGTATTAAAACTAGCAAGCTATAGTGTAGCTATGATGGAAAAACCTTAATTGTAGCAAGAGAAAGAGAGAAAGAAGTGAAAGTAAATCTGCCCCCAAAATAAAGTTGAGGCCATAAGGTAAACAATACCATCTCCCTGCTGCCAAACCCAATAATGAACAGTAACTCCCTCTGAGATGCAACAAGTAAGAGAACCAGAAACAAAAACATAGTCACTCAATAGAATATCAAAAATAACCCAGAAAAAAAAACCCTTACTGTCAGACACCTGGCACTGAGAAAGCTGGTTAAGCCCAGACAACAATGCCCATTCCCTAGAAAGAAATAAGGTATTATACCTAATATCAGAATTACAGTCTGTCAACTTTAAAAGAACATTGGCAACATTGCGGGTTAAATTTAAGTGTAGCTGGAAAAAGGAAGAAAAGAAAAAAAAATACCCAGAGATAAATAAAAATATATTTTGCAATATTGGATGTTGCGAAAATAAGTTCTTTGTCACATACGAACCACATTTTACCCCGTTAAAGGGTTTTTTTGGGGGAGTTTTTCCTTATCTGCTGTGAGGGTCCTAAGGACAGAGGGATGTCGTATGCTGTAAAGCCCTGTGAGGCAAATTATGATTTGCGATATTGGGCTTTATAAATAAAATTGATTGATTGATTGATTCTAAGTGTAATAACAATTGAAGATTTTTTTTTAGAAATAAGAAATGAAACTATGTTCACACACTTGCCTGTCACTGCTCACACATCAACCAGAGCAAAGAGCAAAAAGAGAGGGAAAAAAAGGAGTCCCATTGGCTCGGGTTTAAAGCACTGGAGTCCATATTCTGACATCAGTCATCATCATCTCCTCATTTATTGATGAAGTCTACGGCTTCTTGGCGAGTGTTAACTACATATTGAGCGGATCCGCGGATCAGCTTCGGCCTGGCAGGATACAACAGGAGCGTCTGGAAACACAGCTTCCTCGCTGCCTCAATGGATGAAGAGAATTTGCGGAGGCAAGTGAACGTGAAGTTGCTTTAGTCCGCCATGAGGTGGATGTCTTTACCACCAAGTTTCAGAGGAGAGCATTGGGCAGCCTGGAGAATACGGTATCGGTCAGAATACCGGAGCATGTTACAGATGAGTGTCCTGGGTGAAGAGGAGTCGTCCTGCTGGGGCCCAGTGCAGTGAGCCCTCGCAATTTCAATATTTTGGTCACCCAAAAAAGGAAACCGAGGGATGTGGTTATGTACTGGCAGGTGTTGGAGCCCTCCATGCCCTCGGGAATCCCTCTGATTCGGATGTTATTGCGGCGGCTCCAGTCCTCTAAATTGGCAAGTTTAAATTCCAGCTCTGTTATCTTACCCCTGTTGTCCACACTGTTCTTCTCTGTGGTGTCAATACGCTTGGAAAGAACTGAAACATCTGAACGTAGTTTAGATACATCCTTTGTGCAGGAGGAGATGTCATGGCACATTTTGTTCAGTGTATCGTTCAGTTCTGTGAACTTGGATTCCAGGCCATGGCGAGCATGGTAGTTAGCTTCTCCTCCATACCACTGTTGGGTTCGCTCGATGTTTCACTTGAATTTGTGTTGGGTTGCTTGGCTGACCATGGTTGTTTAGGTCTCTGAGAATACATTGTTGGATATTCGTGTTTAAAACACAGAGAAAGGTTGAGCTGTTATGTAAGATTAGATGGTTTGGGGAAGAAGGGGTGAGAGCAACAAACCTATGCGGCCATCTTGTCTTCAGGTCACGTGGCCCCTTGCAGAATTGTATGTTTTGAAAAAAGATTATAACCTGGTGCACTTATAAGTACCTGCATACAAACTCAAAGCACTGAATTTGTTCCATTGATAAACATTGTCCCATTGTGCAACACAAAATGAAAAAGGAGCTCTTACAGGTGGACATACACACACAAGGTTTAAGGGACAGTTAGAAGTCATAGCACAAATATTCAAAAGACTTGCTCAAGCTGTTTGTGAAGTATTAATTTTAAAAAATGCAGGGTCCTCCCAAGATTCTGTTTGATCGATATAAATTGTCACATTTTAGAATAAGACAGTACAAACCTTTGATTTTTGTATAGATGGATCTATTCACTGAGTTTGTTCCTCTGCAGACATGTTTGCTGAGTAAAGATATGGAATCTCTGGTAGAGTCCTCTGTGCAGCTGATGAGGAAATGTCTTCCAAAAACTCCTCTGCCACTGACATCAGATCAGTCTGCATACACCTTCCCCTTGCCTGGATGGCCACAAGCTGTCCCAAATATGGATGCAGAACCAGGTACAGTATCATTATTTACTTCATGTCAAGATTCAGCAGAAGGACCTTTGAGCAGTTACTGACTTGGATGTGCAGATTTATAAAATATGTAAAATAGTGAGACAATTCATAAATATACAATACAATGCTGTACTTTCATTTTGGGATTTTTTTATGGCAGTATTCCAACCAGATTGGCTGACTGATCCCATTGGAACTAACTGATTGAAAAGTGAATAGTATATAACAGAGGGCACTGCATTTCTCAGTGTGTTTTCTTGTTTGCTGTATTGTGGATATAGTGTGGTCCATATACTCAGTAACAGAAAAAAATAACCCTCATTTTTAAGACATCCTTTGTCCCCAGTGCCTCCAATTGAAATTATTTCATTTCTTTGCCTTAAGATGATTCCCATTAGTTAGAAATCCATTTTATTAATTAACTATGTAATTTCACTGATGTGCAGATGTTCAAACTGTGCAAGTACAGACACTGTATACATGTTTGGAATTCCCTGCAAATTTTTACAGAGTTCACCTTACTTAAACTCTTGAGTGGCTACAGACACACTCATCCAGAACACTGACATTGGCTGCTCTGTTTTCTAGATGACAGCAGTGGGGAAAGTGATGATGAGGAGGCTGAACATAACCAAGAGGCGGACTATGTAAGTATGTAAGGCTTTCAGTGGCCCTATATTTGTGAGTTATTACTTTCAATAACCAAATTGTACCACAAAGGCCAGTGTTAATGTAATTTTATGTGTTAATTGACCTGCTTTTTACAACTCTAAAAAATAAACTAAGCACAAAAAGTAAGGAAATTTGTGTTTGGTAGATTATTTCTTTGTTGCAACAATGCTTCTACACAATAAATCTTATACCATTGGAAAGCCTGTTTATTTTTAAATGGTGCCACATTTGTAAGGAACATGCATTTGTGGGATGAGCCAGATTTGGCCCGCGGGACCCCTGATGTGCTGACATACTGTTGTAAGTGTGTTATGTAATTTCCGGTGTTTCTGTGATAGCGTCTCTGTGCTGCTCTAAGCAAACTCCCACCAGCTTGTTTTCTGTTTTTACGCACTTCAGTTGCTTAACATCTACTTTACATCTTAACCCACACTAGTTCTGTTTAAGCACTTATAGCTCTCTTCTCTTTAACGACTCTCTTGCTAATCTTAGCTGTTGTTTGCACGTTATTAGCCTTGTTAGCTACATTAGCTTAACATTTAGCGATGGCTTCTCCCTCTCCTGCTCTTTCTTGCTCGGTGTGCCAGATGTTTAGTTATTCCTCTGCCTCCTTTAGCTACAGTGGTAAATGTAACAAGTGTAGTTTATTTGGTGCAATGGAGGCGAGGCTTAGTGAATTGGAAGTGCGATTTCGCACCATGGAAATCAGTCTGTAGCTGCGGTATTTGCCAGCCCCCTGTAGCCAGCGCGGAGCCACTTAGCATAGCCTCTGCTAGCGGTCCCCCGGTAACCCCCGTGCAGCTGGGAGGTTGGGTAATTGTAGTGAAGCGTAGTACCAAGCTGAAGCCCACTGTTCACCACCAGCCTGTTAATGTTTCCACCCATTTTTCCATGTCTCAGTGACACACCCGCTGAGGAGAAAACTGTGGTCATTGGCGGATCTATTTTGAGAAACGTGAAGTTAGCAACACCAGCAACCATACTCAGATGTATCCCTGGTGCCAGAGCGGGCGACACTGAGTCAAATTTGAAACTGCTGGCTGAGGCTAAACGTAGATTTAATAAGATTGTTATTCACTTCGGCGGCAATGACACCCGGTTACGCCAATCGGAGGTCACAAAAATTAATGTTGCCTCGGTGTGTGAATATGCTAAAACTATGTCGGACTCCGTAGTTTTCTCTGGACCCCTCCCAAATTGGACCACTGATGAGATGTTTAGCCGCATGTCATCATTTAATCACTGGCTGTCCAGGTGGTGTCCAGCAAACAATATGGGTTTCGTTAATAATTGGCAAACTTTCTGGGGAAAACCTGGTCTGATTAGGAGAGATGGCATTCATCCCACTTTGGATGGAGCTGCTCTCATATCTAGAAACCTGGCCAACTTTATTAGTAATTCAAAACCCTGACAACCCAGAGTTGAGACCAGGAATCAGAGTCGCAATCTTACACACTTCTCTGAGCTTCTAGTGCAGTTACCCACCCATAGTTTTACACAAACGGTGTCTGTCCCCCGACCACCTAAATTATCTAAATCTAAAATTAAACAAAGAGGAGTTGTGCATAACAACCTAATAAAAATTAAAACCTCTTCTGTGACAGAAAGACAAAACAGGAGAATTAAATGTGGACTGTTAAATAATAGCTAACATCAAAAGCAGTGTTAGTAAACAAATTAATATCAGATAATCATATTGATTTACTCAGCCTCACTGTAACCTGGCTGTGTCAAGATGAATATGTCAGTCTAAACGAATCCACTCCTCCCAGTCATAATAATGCCCATATCCCTCGAGGCAGCGGCCGAGGAGGGGGAGTTGCAGCCATCTTTAACTCTAGTCTGTTAATCAGCTCTAAACCTAAACTAGATTATAATTCCTTTGAAAGCCTTGTTCTTAGTCTTTTACATCCGACCTGGAAAACCTCACAGCCACTTTTATTTGTTATAACCCCAGGTTTCTTTTCAGCACTGTAGCCAGGCTGACTGAGAGTCACAGCTCTATTGAGCCTTGTATTCCTATAGCCCTTAGCAGTAATGATTCTATGAGCTTCTTTAATGACAAAATTCTATTAGAGGCAAAATTCATGACCTCCTGCCCTCAAACGGAAGCAATCTGCCCTCAAACACCGCTGTAAGACCTGATATATATTTAAATAGCTTCTTCCCGATTTCTCTTAAACAATTGACCACAATGATTTCTTCATCCAAATCATCAGTGTCTCTTTGAGCCCATCCCAACTAAGCTACTTAAGGAAGTCTTACCTTTAGTCAACACTCACATATTAGACATGCTGAATATATCTTTATTAACAGGCAATGTGCCACAGTCCTTTAAGGTAGCTGTAATTAAACCTCTTCTAAAAAAGCCCACCCTGGATCTGGAGGTGTTAGCCAACTATAGAGAGTGTGAGCCCTGCAAAGACTGGGTGCACGCAACATAAGCCCTCAGTGCCCTCACTGGGCACAATGTAAGCACGCCAGCATCCCCCTGTAGCAGGGCCTGACCGGGTTGAAATGCGCTGCTCTCAATCACTTGATTCACCGTTTGAGGGTTCACCACTTTAGGAAGAAATGAGGGGTTAGGCCATGAAGACACACTTGAGTCACCAGCCTTCCATCTCAAACAAGACTCACTCACAGATAGAGCATGCAATTCACTCAATCTCTTGGCCAAACACACAGCCAAGAGAAAAGTCGTCTTATGGGACAAAAACCTAAGACTAGACTGTTCCATGGGCTAATAAGGGGCCTGCCTCAGGGACCTCAGCACCACAGGGAGATCCCACGATGGAGCCCTGGGAGTCCTACTTGGTCGCAGCTGGTACGCCCCTCTAAGGAACCGAGGGACCAAAGGATGTCTCCCTACTGTAGTGCCCCCAACAGCCTCATGGAAGAAGGAGATAGCAGTGGTGTACACATTAATCGTGCTGGGAGCCCCCTCTGAGTCCAAAATGGACTGCAGAAAGCAAAGAACCAGCTCAATTGGACAAGTGAGTGGATCCACCTGGTTGTTGCGACACCACGCAGAGAATACCTTCCACTTCAGCCCGGGCATTGCCTAAGGTTCTCAGGACAGCCTCATCTAACCCCTGAGGGAGGGACTGAGAAGGGGCCAAGCCCAAAGCTGCAGAAACTCCAGTTTGGGATGCCATATCTGACCCCCCATCTGACCCTGACTGGCAGGGCCCATGACTGACCGTGAACCAGGCGAAAGAGTACTGGGAACCAATGCCTCCTGGGCCACTTGGGGGCTATCAACAGCACCCTGTAGTGGCCCAGGGTAACCCGGTTGAGTAACAGAGGGATCAGAGGGAACGGCGGAAAAGCGAAACAACCCTTCCGGCCATTGTTGAGACAGTGCATCCAAACCCAGGGGACCTCCCTGACTTTCCAGGGAGAACCACATCCTGCAGTGGATCGTCGCCCACCCAGGGTGGCGTCCACAGACCGTACACCATCCTGCCTTCCCAGACTGCCCCCCAACCTGTGAGGTAAGCATCTGTGGTCACCACTGATCTCCTTGATGGCATGTTCCCAAGGGGAACCCCCTGGAGCAGAAGCCCCCTGTTCCTCCACGGGCGTAACGTCTGGAGATATGCATGTGTCACCCGAAGTTTCACCTGCCTGTGCAATTTTGGGTGGAGTTTGAAGGCATTCAGCCACCTCTGCAGTGGCAGAGCCCTGAGGAGGCCCAAAGGAACAACAGCCACCATGGCCGAAATCATCCCCAGCAGCCTCTGAAAAAGAAACCAATGCTAATATAGCACTTATCATACCCACCAGACTAATAAATTAGGCAGGATACCAGAGTTAACATGTAGATGGACTAGTTGTAGGTTGAGGTTCAGCTCTGGGAGCTGGTGAGAATGGATGAGACACACACGGTATTTGCAATGATAAGAGAGTGTATTGACAAAATATGTACAAACAAAAATGCTTTTAAGTGTATTGATAATAACTAAAGAATTAATTAAACAAAACAAAGGCCTTGAATAGAAAAATATTTACAGAGGTTCCATATGGTAAGTCACAGTCTACTAGTAGCAAATTTCACATTTCACAGTGCAGCTTTAATTCTAGCTAATGTTACTCAACTCCAGTTATCGATCAGACCACAATCAATACTCACAGAGCAAAATACAATTTGCCCAATACCGTATTTCCATAAACACTCATTTCTCAAAGAACTTTTAATAAATATGATTGTCAGTGCAAAAGGTAATTTTTCCCAAAAGTGAGAATATTGCACAACCCAGGGAATTAATGCTCAATAGTCTCTTCAGTAGGGGAGTAACAGCTAATTGAGGAGGAAAGTCCAACCACACCACCTGGTTGCCAGCCAGGTTTGCAGCCTGTGTGTGTCTTAGCTGCTCTTGGTAATTTCTGGGTAGCTTGCCATCCATTTCAGTTGATCTTCAGCTTCTTCATCATCATCATCATGATCATCATTATCATCATCATCAACAACAAGCCTGATTTGTTTAATGAACAAGTACACAATCAAGTCATCCATCCTGTGTGTTTAATTCCTCCTGGTTAGTCCATAAATACACTAATTTGCTCACCAGTGTCCCGTCACATCCAGCATGAGTTTCCAGCAACAGCACAGCATCACATCATCCAAACAAGGCAGTTGAACTGTTAAACAATGGAAGGAATTGCTGATTAGCTTCTGTGTTATCGGCATTAGCTGTGTTAGTGATGCTAGCGGCGTTAGCTGTGTTAGCAATGCTAGCGGCGTTAGCTGTGTTAGCAATGCTAGTGGCGTTAGCTTTGGCTGGTTAGCAGTAGCATTTAGCATGAGTTGCTCACACTCACCAACTCCTCTCAGTGTGCAGCATGACATGAGAGTTTGTCCTGCTTCCTCCTACAGTCACCGACTTCCCGCTCCAGCATTAAAGAGTTCCAACCTCCATCTCCAGTCCTCCTTTCTCCGTGTTTCTGCTCTTATTACCAACCGTACGTGTAGCGT